CATGCCAAACGCTACCGAGAAACGTGGGTTGACGTTCGTCTGGGACGCTGCCATGAAGCCGGGATGGACTCCACGGTTTTCCTCCCCCATCATTGTCATGTCCTTCAGCACCCACACGTCCGAGAGAGTTTAGGAGCCGAAGGGACGTGCGGGCTCCGCGTCCTCCGACCTCCAGCACACGCAGAGCCGTCTCGCTGATGCCAAGCCGAGAGTTGCGGGTCTCTCGCTGCACTGCCGGCAGCGCCGCGTGCCGACGCGTTCGCTGGTGCTGATTGCGAGTCCCAGCCACGCGCCGACACTTGCCATGACGTCAGACGACCTCCGCGGGTGTGCAGGCGTACTGGCAAGTGACGTGACGTCATCGTCGTGTGGCGGGGCTTTGATGGGGAGGTGAGGCCGCCAGGGTTCGTGGCAGGGACTCGGGGGCGACGTAGATTTACGATCCGCTGCCCGCGTGGTCTGCGACGCTGACCGGGGCATCCAGCCCAGCCGCCAGCTGGGTGGTGTTGGCGGTGGCATTGGGCCGGCAGGTCGCCGACCAAAACGGCGAAGTCGTCGGCAGTCCTTAGGAAGCAGCTCGTGATGAGGTCATAGGATGCGGTGCGAATGCGCTAAAGAAGTCCAGCGGCGCCGCAGCTGGCCGTCGCGTCTGTCGTCCAAGACCGGGTGCAGTGTGCGGCCGCAGTCGCACACCGCCGAAGGGCACAGAGTCGTGCCGCCGCCGGCGTCCTGTGAGCACGACTGCGGAGAGCGCGGCGCGGCAGTCGGGTCGCCCAGCGCAGAGCCGGCGGAGGCGGCTGCAGACAGGAGCGGGACGGTGCCGCCGCCGGCGTCCTGTGAGCACGACTGAGGAGAGCGCGGCGCGGCAGTCTGGGCGCCCAGCGCAGAGCCGGCGGAGGCGGCCGCAGACAGGAGCGGGACGCCTGTCCCGAGTGTCCGTATTGGGTGTCGGACCGATGACAGCCCGCCTCCGCAGGTCACGGAGCGGGGGATGCCTGAGGTGCCTGATGTGGATGGCCAGGATTCCGGCGCAGGTCCGGCACTCAGGGACGTTGTCTCGCGACATGCTGTGGGTAATATTGTCGTTCCCAGTGCCGCGTTCCCAAACCAGCGCCGCATCTGCCGAGCCTCCTCCGGGCCGAAAGGTGCCTGTGGAACGCGCCAGGCCTGCTCTCACGGATGAGCTTCACCGCGCGTCGAAGTCCCGTGGCTACTAGGTTCAGCGAAATTTCTCCTCCACTGCCCGCCTGGCGAGCTCGCGGCTCCGCCTGGTGGCTAACAGGACGGCGTGCGCTGCCTGGCGGCGGCTGCGGCGTTGCGCGCGCTGGCAACCCTTCGGGTTGTCCTGGTCCGGCAGGAGGTCCGCGCCGTTCCCGCCGTCTGCCACCGGAGGTTGTTGTGCTGGCGGACGACAGTCGTGATGTTGCCCTGCAAGCTCCGGACACTTGCCAATGCATCGCCGGCCAGGGTGGTTGCGACGGACCCGGACGTCGTGTTTCACTCATTACAAAGGCAGTTTGGTCACGAATTCAACGCTCAACAAAATGCTCTCGGCAGGGAGATAAAGCTGGTGTAAATCTTGTGGAACTAGGCATGTCTTTTGCCAGTGACGAGAAAAGGCTGCGACGGAGGAACTCCGCGGAAATCATCATTTGAAATGGAAAATCCGAGCCGGCCGTGACGAATTCCAGAAAACTGGCTTTGCGTCGCGATTTCAGCACGCCTAGCTCAGACACGATCGTATACAGTTGCATTTTGCACTAAATCATCCGATAGCCAATGCGAACGAGACCACAGCACGCGACATGTTTTGCTTGCCTCGTTAGGCAGATAAGGTCAAATGCCATATAAGGTAAGACCCCTGCCGTAACAGTAATCAGACGGCAACACCAAACCGGCTGGGTCTGGGGTTCAGTTGGAGAAAATACCGTTGTCCCGAAGGTTTTTGAATATGAAGCCGTTCAGCAGTTCTCGCCACTGCACGTGGCGAAGCGCCGGAAACCTCGCGATCTCTGTGGCGAGCGTCAAGCTGTGTCGATGGGAATCTACGAGCGACTCAGGATGCATTAGTTCCAGCTGGAGCCGCCTGCTCGCGTGGAAAGGCGGCTGCGGGCCCCTCGTGCGGCATTTTCGTTCCCGCCGGCCCCAGCTTGAAGCCCGTGTCGGATCCCGACCGGAATGGGCTCCGGTCGGGTTGCCCGGGTCCGTGCCGCATGATTCGGCCATTTCCGTCGGTGATCATCACGCATCGACCGCTCGTAAAGTGGGGCCGCCCGGCCGGCGGGGCGCAGGGCCGCGCTTTACGGCCGCCGGATGGTCGCTCGGCGCGCCCGGTCACTCTCCGAGCGCGCGCCGTCGGCGGCCGGGACCGGGCGCCGTCCGCGCCTGGCCGGCTGGCCGCTGCTGCGCCGCGGCCGCAGGCAGCGACCGCCGCGGTCTTCACGAGGGGGCGGGCGCCCCGGGGCTCGCCGCCGCGTATTGGATGGATATGACCGGTGACGTGATGTCGATGAGGCGGCTCTCGGGGTGATGGTCGCGCTTTCCGCTCGTTCTGAGCGGGGTCGGGGCGTGGCGTGACGGCAACGACGGTCGTCTGCTGCGTTGTGTGGTGGCGCTCGGCGGCGTTGGGCCGTGCCGGGACGCTGCCTGAGGAACGTTCTGGCCGTGACGGCCAGGTAGTCACCGCACGGCTGGGACTGGGCCAGCCTGGTTCCGCCTATCCAAAGTCCGCGCGGCGGCGTCGGACTCGCCGCCGCCGCCGGACGCACCGCGCGGACCGCGTGATGCCAGCTGGAGTTCCCGTCAGGCCGCGCGTATTCGGTAGCCGACCCGTCCCCGGCAGAGCGGCACTCCGAGCTGTTCCCGCTGGGCGGGCTGGCGCCGGCAGCCGGACTGGCCCCAGAAATGGTGGTGGGCGCTGACGCGCGGGGCGAGACCACTGGAACGGAACGGTCGCCGGTCTCATCCAGCGGCCCGGTCGGCGGTCAGGTTAGGGCGGGATGGTTCGGACCGGGCGACAGGTCGTTCATTGTTGAACGGCGCAAGGTGCGCTTCGTCGCCATGAATATCGGTCGAGGATCGCAGCCGGCGCTCCGGCACTCCCGTGACGCCTCCGGAGCCGCCGTGGCGCCTGGGCGGCCCGCTGTGACGGCTGCTGTCAGCGGTTTCCTGCTGATGTCGCCGGCCGTCTGACGCCGCCCGGAGGCGGGATGCTGGTCACAGAAGGGCGTCATTGCAGTGGAGGATTAACGATACGCTCAGCTGCTGAGCCTGCACGGCGTCGCTTGTCCCTCACCCCGGCAGGCGGGAGTCGAACCCTGTGCCTCTGGTTTCCCAGATGCGCAGCGTGACCACTACGCTGCTAGTATTCCGGCTACAGGAGGGTTTTATCGGCCAGGAAACAATTGGTACGTCGGTATTCCCGAACCGGCGCCATGCTTTCGGATGACAGTCGGCGCCTGTCCGTCGCCACAGAGGCGAATGCGACGGGGGAGATGAGGGGACCGTGATCGGTGTTCACTTACACGGGCAGATGTGACGGGGGAGATGAGAGGACCGTGATAGGTGTTCACTTACACGGGCAGATGTGACGGGGGAGATGAGAGGACCGTGATCGGTGTTCACTTACACGGGCAGATGTGACGGGAGAGATGCGAGGACCGTGATCGGTGTTCACTTACACGGGGAGATGTGACGGGAGAGATGAGAGGACCGTGATCGGCGTTCACTTACACGGGGAGATGTGACGGGAGAGATGAGAGGACCGTGATCAGTGTTCATTTACGCTGCCTGGATGCCTGACGTGACGGCGCCGAGATCGCCCAGATTGTGGCGAGTGGAGGAGCAGCTGGTACTGTAATCGCGCCTCATCGCAAATAGCTCTGATCTTTGAATGGTAATGCTGTGCTAAGCGGTCGAAACCGATTTAGGTGCTACATGTGTCGGTAGTCGTAATAATTTTGCAAGGTAAGCATCTGCAGCGTCTAAGTTTGCAAGCCAAGCTGGCAGACTGCTCACCACGCTGCATAATTCACTTGCCACAGTGGCCTATTCTCGTCTGGTCCCGGCCGGAGTTCTGCCAGCCAGGAGGACATTGCGGCCATGAGATGGAATCGCGTTACCAATCCTGCACAGCTGGCTGGCTACACCTAAACTTGTATGGGCTGACGTACGTGCAGGAAATGGCGGGAATACTCCGGACTTCCAGCTCCGAAGTTTGCTCTTTGAAACACGTCAGCTGTGCCGTGTCCCTGAGTGGGCACCGCTTGTTTAGGCACACGTGAAGCGCTTGCTAAGGTGTTATCGCTCCGCGTGCTTGACGGAGCATTGCAACAACTTTCTTTGCCACCGGCAGTCTCCTCGGGAGTAGTGTACCTCCGTGGTAACGATACGACCGCCCCGCCCCTCTCGGTACATCGCGCACCATCGTGCAGCTGGCCGACTGCGAGCGCCGAGACCGCCTTTCTCCGTGTGGCCTTTGCCCATTGGCATGCCGTCAGATTGTGCAGCTCGGCGCCCCAGGCCTCAGACCACGAGTCCTCGTTTGAAGGGCATGATGAAACGCCCGGCTACTGCCGCCGCTGAACAAACAGCGCCCGCTTGTTGCCGCCGTGTGTTTGTGTATCTGTGTGTGTATGTGTGTGTGTGTGTGTTTTGAGAGGACATGTTCTCTTTTTGCTCCTCGTTTTTCGTCTCCCGGCGGCCCGCGTCATATCATCATCTCCCCGTCTAATTATGGTGATCCTGTATGGCTGGTGTCTGCGGCGTGCGGCTACCGCTGCCGCTGCCGCTGCTGCTACCGGCCCCGAGCTGCCGGGCAGCGGCGCGCCGTCCGCCGTGCGGCTACTGCTACCGGCCCCGAGCCGCCGGGCAGCGGCGCGCCGTCTGGCGTGCGGCTACCGCTGCCGCTGCCGCTGCCAGCCCCGAGCCGCCGGGTAACGGCGCGCTGTCTGGCGGGGTTGGCGTTCCACCATGTATAGCGGACGCTCTCGCTGTTGCAGGACTCGCCCACCGGCGTGCCGGTCACCCTGAAGGTGGACCCGAACGGCTTCTACCTGTACGTGATGGACCAGAACAAGGTGAGCGGGCGGGGCGGGCGTGAGGCGCCGTCGCAACCGCGGCACCTTGACACACCGGCGCAGAGACGGCGGGGACCGGATGGCGCCGGGTGTGGGTGACGCGACGGCCGGGGCGCTGGGTTTCTGGGCGGGAGTCCCCGGCGTAGGGCATACCACCGAGTGGGCGCCCAGCACCCAGCGTTCGTTCGACGGGAGCAGACTTTCGCCGAACTGAGGCAGCGCTGAGGGATTTTCCTGCAGCAAACGGTGACGTTTCTGATGGCGCTCGTGGCATCTGAACGGCTTAAACCGGCTAAGCCTACTCAAGGAGAGGGAACTACGTTTTTGTAATCGGTTGAGGATTTGGTAATGCTACAGAAAGGAGGTCTTGATGGACACTCTAAGAATAATTTGTTGTTTTCGCTGGAAAGTTTAAAAAGCGGTTCTTAGAGTTAAGCCGTCCCCCTCGGCTGCGCCTGTCTGTGGTGCAGTAGCGAAGCGTTGAAAAGTTATTTTTATGCGACAGTATGCGACATATCAGCTAAGTCTTTGTCGCATGACGCACTGTTTTCGACGAAAAGCTCCGTTAAAAACTAATAAACGACGGAAGACGTTACGACTAATATATAGTATAATATATATGATATATAATATGCATATGTATTATATATGTATATATATATATATATATATATATATATATATATATATATATATATATATATATATATATATATTGATAATTAATAACGACGTTAAAAACTCAAACGCGTTAGAAGAGATAGCACCGAGGACTCGTGGTGGACGGCTTGTGCATTGCCACGTGTCAACAGGTGTTGGTGAGCCAGTTGAGCTCGCAGGTGCGGCAGATTCTCACAGCACAGCTGGCCAACGGCTGGCTGCCGCGTCGCTGTGTCCCCACCGCCGGCCATGTTTAGCGCAGGTCAGCAGGGCGACGTGGACCTGGCACCGCCCGTCGCCGGCGCCGGTACGGAAAATAGGCCTCCTGACGGCGTAGAGCCATGCCGCGCCGGCTGCCGGCTCTGGGGAGGTCACGGGGAAGGGACAGAGGTCAGAGGCGGGTCATGGCTCATTGTCGGGTTGGAGAGAGGGGTCATAGGCAGGCCAGTGGAGGACGGCCAGACCCTCGCGGGACCGAATGAATCCTGAGGCAGATAGACAGGTAAGCAGATAGGCTTGAAGACAGATATATGCAGATCACGGGAACAGCCCGCGCACAGGTTTTTGCCCGCAGCCTGCCAGACCAGGACCTGCACTCCGGTAACACGCCGTACGCTAATCGACGCAGCACCCGAGATCGTCTGCGGGGGGGGGGGGGGATAGTCGTGGCGCCGTTGGAGCCGGGCAACACGTGGTGAAATACTGCTGGTGAGGACACTGGACGTATGCGGGCTGACGGTCCAACCGTGCCCCCACAGCTGTCGGCCGATGAGGCACCGGATCAAAATCAGAACAGCGGACTCGTATCAAAGCATAGTATGGGCACCATAACGGCATCTGCCGAGATGCACGAGGTCAAACTGAGAAGTGGTGAGGCTGGGCATGCACTGCCACCGATACATTCCACGTATTCATGGTACGCCCCAAATTCTCCGCGCTAGCCGAGTCTTGGTGTTGTCGGACTAGGCGCCCTGTCTGCCCCGCCCGGCCGCTGATTCAGCGCTGACCGAGTCCTGATGTTCTCGTCAGGCGTCCTGCTGGCCGCGGCCCGGCCGCTGTTTCAGCGCTAGCCGAGTCCTGGTGTTCTCGCCAGGCGCGCTGCTGGCCGCGGCCCGGCCGCTGATTCAGCGCTGGCCGAGTCCTGGTGTTCTCGGGCTGGGCGCCCCGCTGGCCACCGCCGCCCGGCCGCTGATTCAGCGCTGGCCGAGTCCTGGTGTTCTCGGGCTAGGCGCCTTGCTGGCCACCGCCCGGCCGCTGATTCAGCGCTGGCCGAGTCCTGGTGTTCTCGCCAGGCGCGCTGCTGGCCGCGGCCCGGCCGCTGATTCAGCGCCGGCCGCCGACGCGCTGACGCCTCAGGGTGACGCGTTACTCAGTCGGAGTCGGCCGCGCTCCGTCGGCCAGCGCCCGACAGCCGGCCGGCAGCCGCGGCCGACTTGGCATGGGCTGCGCAACCGGGCGCAGCTCCGACCCCGCAGGCCGTTCGGCCCGTTTCTCGGGGGCGGCGTCCGTGCCCAGCGCCCGAGTGCTCCAGCTGGGACCGCAGCCATACAGCCGCGCCTTGTGGCACGTGCGCGCCGCCCGCGTATAGAGGTTACGCTCAACACAGGCCGCTACCGCTGCGGCGGCGGTATTGAGCAGAAGACCTATTCAAGTGAGAGTACAAGTTAGGCTCATTCTTAGACCCATCCAAGCAGGCAACACTGTCACCTTGAACGGAGGGACGCCCAGGCTACGTGACGTCCACCTGTCTCCGGACTCAGTGACCGCCATTAATACCCTGTGCCCTGAGCTCCATTAGCACGTGAACTCCGTGACCACCGGCGCTGCGGACCGCCGTGCTGCCGGCGCCGTGACCCCGGGAACCGCCGTCAGCACGCGGCCGCGCCGGCGATGCGAGCGTCAGCGTACGGCAACCGCCACGCCCGTCCCGCCGCGGCGTCCGATGTCACCCCCCGGGTGTCCGCCTGTGGCAGGCGGCGGTCAGGGGCCGCCGGCCCCCGCCGCGCTCGACCGCCGAGCACTACTACGGCGCTCGCTGTAAGGCGGGCCGCGCGCGACCCAGCGACGCCGCCGCATCGGTATTGCCGCCGCGTCGGTGGCCCTGATTGGACGACAACAATGCCGGCGGCCGGCGCCCCCGGGGATTCCCCGAGGTGTCCCGCCGGCGGCGCCGCGGCGTCCCGCCGGGCCGCGCTGGGGCGAGCCAATCTGGAGCTGGCGTGCGGCCGATCACACGGCAAATAGTTGTCGCCCCCGCCGTGCGTTGCAACTCAAGATGCTCGGAGTGTCCGCCTTCTTTTTGCTTCATTTGTCTCCTTTTATGAGGCGTGCATACCAATCGTTTCCTTTTCTTTAACGTCTGCAGCGTTGGTGTATTTTCTGAGCTGCTGGCACGCCTTGAGGTTTCGAAGAAGGAAGATATCAGGGCTGCGACGTTTCCAACAAACATTGGAAATGTTGCAACACGCAATTTTATGGAACGCTGCTCCGTCTGGGCCCAGAATACCGGTGTCAGATTGGAGCTCGGCATCGCAATCGTGGCGGCGTCCCGTTCGACGGCGCGGCGCTGATGGGTGCCGATTCCCCTGAGATGGGAGGCGTGCGTCCGTCACCGGTCCGGAGATGCCGTCCGCGGACGCGCGCGGCCGTGACGACCACTGGCCGGTATGGCGGCGCCGCTCCGGTCACGGCCGACGTCTGCTGGATGGGCGATCGCCGCTGGCGGCTCCGCGCCGGCTTCGGCATGCGTGGCTTCGCGAGCCGCCTGAAACCCAATCACACGCTGCGGAGGGCCTGATTCAGCCCGGTGGGCCGGCGGCGCTCAGGCACGCGCGGCGCGCCGCCCGACTCTCAGTCATCGGCCGGCGCCGCTTACCGATGGGCTTCCGTGAACCCGTCCGGCGACAGCAATATCAACGCATGCGTGCCGTGTTGGCGCATGGGTGATGAATGGGGCGGAGGCCCCCCCCCCAATCATCACTCAGGGAAGACATCGCTGAAAGCATCGCGCTTGGCTGGCTGCCATGGGTTGCCACTTGACGCGTCTGTCGCTTTCCTCTCTAATCAAGGACGTGAGATGTGGCTGCTGTGCCTCTGTGCTCACTCCCACCGCTCCGTTTAATGGGTGCCGCGCCGTTATTGTTGCCATAATGCCTCCTTGTTCTGCGGTCGCTGTGGGTTATCGCGCCCGCCCGAACTCAGCGGGCGACGGGCAGACGACGGGCGCCGACTCTGCGAGCGGCAAACGGCGCTCCATGTGGGGGGGGGGGGGGGGCTGCCTGGCCGCTGCCGATCGTGGGTGACCCCGACACCTGGCCAGCCGCCGCGGTCGGGTCAGGTCACGCCGCGTCGGGCTCGTGACCGGCGGCCTGTGAGGCGCCCGGCCCGCGGCGCGCGCCCTGTGGTCGGCGCTCGTCACGGCCCCGGCGCTTGCGTTGTGTTTGTGAGCAAGAGAAATGATGTGTTTAGAGGGGATTGCGTGGCGTGTACCAAGAAGATTACGTGGTGAGTTCGAGGAGGGTGCTATGCGTTTGTAGAAGATCGCCCGTTTGTTTAGTGGAGGTTACCTGATGCGTTCGCTGACGCTCGCGTTGCGGAGAGAGCACTCGGGCTTGCCTTGGATCTGCTAGACTGGATTGGCAAAGGTCCTTTGCTCTTCAGGAGGTTGCATGTGAGCCTTTTCAGGAGCCTTCTGAAGCGTTGGGATGGGGTGTGACGCCTGTACGAGCGACCATCGGGCGCGAATGTTGGAGCCTGTCGTGGGGGCCTGTACGAGCGACCGTCGGGCCTGGATGTTGGAGGCTGTCGTGACCCCGCACAAGCGACCGTCGGGCCCGGAGTTGGAGGCTGTCGTGGAGGCTTGTACGAGCGACCGTCGGGCCCGGATGTCGGAGGCTGTCGTGGAGGCTGTACGAGCGACCGTCGGGGGCCCGGATGTTGGAGGCTGTCGTGGAGGCTGTACGAGCGACCGTCGGGCCCGGATGTTGGAGGCTGTCGTGGAGGCTGTACGAGCGACCGTCGGGCCCGGATGTTGGAGGCTGTCGTGACACCCGCACAAGCGACCGTCGGGCCCGGGATGTTGGAGGCTGTCGTGGAGGCTGTACGAGCGACCGTCGGGCCCGGATGTTGGAGGCTGTCGTGGAGGCTGTACGAGCGACCGTCGGGCCCGGATGTTGGAGGCTGTCGTGGAGGCTGTACGAGCGACCGTCCGGGCCCGGATGTTGGAGGCTGTCGTGGAGGGCTGTACGGCGACCGTCGGGCCGGATGTTGGAGGCTTGTCGTGACACCCCGCACAAGCGACCGTCGGGCCCGGATGTGGAGGCTGTCGTGGAGGCTGTACGAGCGACCGTCGGGCCCGGATGTTGGAGGCTGTCGTGGAGGCTGTACGAGCGAACCGTCGGGCCCGGATGTTGGAGGCTGTCGTGGAGGCTTGTACGAGCGACCGTCGGGCCCGGATGTTGGAGGCTGTCGTGACACCCGCACAAGCGACCCGTCGGGCCCGGATGTTGGAGGCTGTCGTGGAGGCTGTACGAGCGACCGTCGGGCCCGGATGTTGGAGGCTGTCGTGGAGGCTGTACGAGCGACCGTCGGGCCCGGATGTTGGAGGCTGTCGTGGAGGCTGTACGAGCGACCGTTGGGCCCGGATGTTGGAGGCTGTCGTGACGCCCGACAAGCGACCGTCGGGCCCGAATGTTGGGAGCTGTCGTGGAGCCTGTGGCGAACGACCGTCGGGCCCGGATGTTGGAGGCTGTCGTGACGCCCGTACGAGCGACCGTCGGGCCCGGATGTTGGAGGCTGTCGTGGAGCCTGTGCGAGCCACCGTCGGGCCCGGATGTTGGAGGCTGTCGTGACGCCCGTATAAGCGACCGTCGGGCCCGAATGTTGGAGGACGTCGTGGAGGCTGTACGAGCGACCGTCGGGCCCGGATGTTGGAGGCTGTCGTGGAGCCTGTGCGAGCGACCGTCGGGCCCGAATGTTGGAGGCTGTCGTGACGCCCGTACAAGCGACCGTCGGGCCCGGATGTTGGAGGGTGTCGTGGAGGCTCATGGCGGCGGTGGTCGCCACCGGCGCCGCCCACAGTTAAGCCGCTCCCAGACGGCCGACGCCTGGCCGCTGTCATCAGTGGCGCGGCTGTTCGTCGATGAGCTGACGCTCGCGTTGCGGCTGGCGGCTGGGCCTGTGCGGGGTCGCCGGGGTCCACGCTGCCCGCCGCCGGGAGCGATCTTCTCCAACCCTCGCGCTGCAGACCAGGGATTCCCGGTTCCCGGAACAAACCCCGATAAAAGGGTATTCGTGCAGGTTTAACGGCCAGGATTATGTATCGTCTGCTCGGGAAAGTTCATACATGCTTACGAGCAAATCACGGAAGGTGCCGGGATTTCGGTTCTTTACTCCCTGACATACAGCTGTGAGCAATACCGTTATTCCGTATTTCGCCATATTGACGTCGACATATGGACATCGACAGTGTGTGACACATCACTATGTCACATCGTCACATGTCGATGTGACATAGTGATATGCGAAAACAAGTAAGGTTCATAGCTTGAAATGTAGCCCGTTTCTGAACAATTGCACAGGATACCTCATGCCCTGTATTTCCGTTGTAAGACTTTGTATTATCGTTGAAGCCACTCTGATAAGTACTGTGCATTAGTCTGGGACTGTTCACAAGTGAGGTTGCATATTTTTGGCCAATCCCCCTGCTCCTGGTTATGCATTAGTTGTTCTGGGTGAAAACTCCTCTTCCCTGTTAACGTTGCGTTGAAGGGAGTATCCACATTTGTATTATATTTTGACTTGAAGCAGTCATTTTGGAGATCATTCGGTGCAGTTCACAGCCCTGCTCTACTTGAGACCTAATACTCTAGTTTCTGAGCTATATGTCTGCGAAGATGCGCAGACTATTTCTTGGTCATTTAGGCGTGCATGACGCCATGGCAACGCCATTCAGGTCCTGCCACCCCACGGGCCATGCGGCGTTCAAGGCCAGGAAGAATGTTAGCGTCCAGCCGTTCAGACCCGGCGTCCGTGAGCACGACGCCCAAGTATAGTGGACGTAAATTGGCTCTCAATCATTGTTGACCAAGCTGTGCAAGTTTCAGTCACGAATCCCGTTTTGTGATATATGTTAAAGAAGTTAGACACAATTGCCAGTTATTACGGAAATAACACTTGTAGTAGAATAACTTAGCGAATAGCGCCATTACCGAGAATATGAATGCAATTAAACTTCTGAAACTTCCGGAAAAATTTGCAGGAGTATCACCAGAAAGGGCCAAACCACGAGCACATACGAGGTTGGGCTCAACGCCTTCCTTGGTCAAACGCCTTCCTTGGGCTCGGCAGCCTTCCAGCACCGCCGCGTCTTGTCTTTGGTAGCGAATTCAGGTCCTTCACAATAATTTAAAGGACTTTCAAGGCAGCTTATTTGCGGGCAGACGGGCTGTCGCGCGTGTTTTTGACGCGGGTTTTCCGAATCTTAAGAACCGGACAAGAATTCTGATGGGAAGGTACCGACAATCAGTGCTTGTGCCTGTGGAGTCAGCAGTGTGCGTGTGTAACCGGTTTTTTGCAAGCATTTCTTTCGTTTTTGTGTCACGCCCGCATGATGTGACGGCTTCATTTATGCCTGCTCACTGTCGAGCGCCCGTACCTCGTGACAACCGGATGATGTGTCGTGCGGCATTACAGCTGTACATCACCAGTACCGTCACGGGTACGGTGTGAGCCGTATGTACGGGGCGTCTTTTAGGTGATCGAAACGATTAGCTGCTGCGTCAGTGGTGTAACCAACCCGAATGTTGCTGCCTACAGGAGGTGGAGCTGCTGGACATCATGACGATTCGCGACACCCGCACGGGTCGCTACGCCAGAACGCCGAAGGTGAGCGGTCGGCGAGCGTCGCTCGTGGCCGGCGTCGGTGGCCGGCGAGCGCGGCTCGGCAGCCTCGTCTGCCGATCGCCGCACGTCGCACAGCTGTGACGCTGCCAGAGCCATCTCACCGCCGCCGAGTGACAGCCGCGTGAGGGAGGCGGCCGTATCTCATCTGCGGTGACGGCGGCGCAAGTCCGCCGCGACTTAGATAGTTGCAGCGGCAGCGGCGGCGGGTATTACGGCACGCTCGGCCGGGCTTGAGCCGGCCTGACGTACGGCCGCCTGTTGGGCCTGTGGGACGCCGCCGGCGTGCAGCGGCTGATCCGGCGCCGTCGGCCTTCGCTCGGCCGACGTCGTCCGCCGACAGCGGCCGGCCTCTGCCTGACGCCGCCGGCGCCGTTCGGAGAACGCCGCCACTTCGTCGCCGTGTGGCCGTTGCCGGCTGTCGGATCGCGGCGGCCCGACCAGATGTTCGGCGCTGCGGGACGGCGCGGGGCGGGGCGCGCGGCGCGCGGCGCGCGCGGCGCGGACCTCGCACCTGCGGCGCCACCCGGTCACGGCCGCCGACACAGGTGCGCGGCTGGCGCGGCGGCGGCCCGCGCTGGCTGCGAGCAACCGGGAGGGGAGGGGGACCGGTTGTGACCGGTCATCGTGCCGCCGAAGCCACGGCGACCCGCGTGGGGTAGGTCGCCGTGACGTCACGGCGAGAAGCGTCACGGCCCGCCATCTACCGGACGTGTTCTCGGGGCCTGCCGCGGCCGTTGCGTTGTAGGCCGGTTTTTGCGCCGTATTTGCCGCACCGCTGCGGCACCGCTGCCGCGCCGGAGATAAGCCGGTGGCGATTTGTCACTGGGCTCATCTCCGGCCGGAGTAGTTAATTGGTTCGTCGACGGCGACGGCTTGTGACGGCAGCCTGCGAACGTCCGACATTCCGAGTTGTCGCGGGAGTTGTGGCCGGCTGGCGGCGGTGGCGCGGACCAGCGTCCCATTACCCAGCCGCCTCAGCGGGGCCGAGCAGAGCGCGAGACGAGAACCGCACGCGCCGCGATCCGGGCCCGATCGGGACCGGCGCGGTCTGGCGGCGCCGAGCTGATGGTCAGCGCCGCCATTGTGAAGCGGCGGCTTGGGCGCGATGGCAGTCATTGCTCGGAGCGCGACCATTGGGGGCGTTTGACGCGGCGGCGGCCGACACCGGACGCCGGCGGGCATTGTGTCGGTCGACATTGACCCCCGACGCGGCGGTGCCGATCGATCGGTGGCCGCTGCGATCGCGCCGCCGCCGCCGACGACGACGCCGCCGGGCCCGGCCGTGATGCCGCCCGGCGGGACCGCTCATCGGCCGACGGCGGGTCCAGACGGGCCCTGGCGGCGGCGGCGACCGTCTCCGGACAGCCGCCCGCCTGACTCGGCTTGCACACGGTTCCTGTGACGTCGTCGGCGGACCGACCGGATTGCCACGGGCGGGCCGCACGCCCGGGCCGCCGGACGCTGCGGGCGGCCGCCGTGACGCGGTCAGCGGCCGCCGCCGCAGGCCTGGCCCGCCGCCGCCGCGGGCCCGGTCGGCCGCCGATCTCCATATAGACGACGCGCCCGCTTCGGAGCGTCCCGGCCCGTGACAGCGCCCCGTCTCATTCAACTCGCGTTCCAGATTGGTCACGGCCGGCGACCGCCACGGCGATCATCGGAGGTACGGACGAAGGGTTGTACTGAGGGGGCGTTGCTGCCGGCAGTGGCTGGCGGGGGGGGCGACAGGGAGGGGGGGGGAGGGGAGGGAGGGCAGGAGGCACTTCATTGCCAATAAGAACCATCCCCAGCCGGAGCGGCACTCAGGTGGTTAATGCTCGCCGCTGCCTCTGGGAGCGCGCCGTCGGGTTGACTTTGATATCGGCTCGTCTCGGGCGTTAGACCGCTTGACGGTTGGCGCTGGAGTAGTGATGCTGAGTGGTTGGCGGTGCGGCCCGAGACAGCAGATGCGTCGCGATAGGGTGTTATCAGCGTCGGCCGTGCCGTGGCACACAGAAGCAGCACAGACTACGACCGTGTTTCCCGGCTGAAGATGTGACGCTTTGTGCCAACGTGTCGTCAGGGGTATTGTTACCATGGCGTCCAAAGCATGGGATAAATCTGCGCGAATGAGGGTGATTAAATGTGGGGCCCTAGTGTCAAGCCTGCTTGGCTCTGTTGAAGCCTGCATAGAAGTGTTCGGGTCGTACGCACCACGTTCTGACCTCCCTCGCTGTCCCAGCAAGAGCGACCGTCATACTCTGCTGCTGTGTATTGTGCTGTGCCTTGCTGTGCCGTGCTGCACTGAGGACAGGTGTGCTGCGGTATGGTGCCGTACTGTGCCGTGCTGTACTGAGGATGGCTGTGCTCCTATACTGTACCGCACTGCACTGTGCCGTGCTGTGCCGTGCTGTACTGAGGACAGCTGTGCTGCTGTACTGTACTGCACTGCACTGTGCCTTACGGTGCCGTGCTTTGCTGCACTGTACTTTACTGCACTGTGGCCGTGCTGTCTGACGCCCGTCCCCGGCGCCGCGCCGCAGGACCAGCGGGTGCGCGAGATCGTCACCATGGGCAGCACGGGCACCCTGGAGGAGAAGACGGTGACGGTCTGCTACGGGCCGGACGTCGTCAACGTCAACTTCGTCAACTTCTGCGTGTAACAAGATGGAGACGGCCAAGGTACGCAGACACGCGGGCAGGGGCGGTGACGGCATCTCGGATGCCGCCGGGTGTGGTTCAGGTTCATGTTCGATGTATTCACGAATCGTTCCGACAGGTGGCTTATTGTTTGATTGGGTACATTTTCAAAAGTACCATGATTGCAATATAAAAAACACGGCAGCAATGCGGACCATATTCGCACATCAGCCGTCCAGGCGCCGACACAACTTTGTCAAGAACAAAGTACATTCATCAAAATATAAATTATCAACACGTGTTACACACCGACGAGCAAGCAATGGTCACCCAACGGGACCGGCTAAATCCTCCAGCCTGGTACGAAACTCATGGCCGCTGCGAGAGACGGTGGTGGCGGTGACGTTTATGGACACTGCCGCGATGTGACGCGACTGAGCAGCGTCGGGGTGCCCGCGGCGCTGTGGGCGCCGGCGCTCTTGCTGCCTTCAGTAGCATCAAGATAGCAGCGCTGTCTGCGGCCGAATGGGCGTGGGCTGGAGCAGATGACGTGGCCTGGATTGTCGAGCTTGGATGATGTTTGGATGGCCGTGGTTTATTGCCTTTCGTGAGTCAATGAACTCTTACGTCAGCAGTCCAGCCGCAGCAGTCTCGCTCACTGCGACCCGTGCAGGACAGAAAGGCCATTCCAGCACTGGGCGTGTAATGCTTTTTGCTCGTCTATCGCCCGCTTCGTCTTCATTCGGGTAACAGTACAGTAGATTAATGCGGTTGCCTTGCCTCTCCTGCGATTCTTCGCTCGCCCATACCACTACCGGGCACCTAGCCGCCGCACGTCTCAGCCCTACTTCGGCCCGTCGCCTCATTGCTCGCATCTGCCGCAGCTGTGGACGGACGAGCTGCTGAAAATGGCGTACAACCTGCTGGCGCTGCACGCCAGCGTCACCACGCTGCTGCAGAAGGCGCACACGCGCATTTGCAGGGACGTGGACCGCACCGGCCGGATCCCCGTCAAGCAGTGAGTATGACACCCACCCGCCGACCGGCCGGCGTCGGCCCGCCGAGACCGGCGGAGAGCGTCGGGCGGCGACGACACCCTCGCCCTCAGCGGGGCCGGCGTCAGCCCGCCGAGACCGGCGGAGAGGGCCTGGCGGCGACACCCTCGCCCTCGGCGGCGGCGGCCTGCCGCAGACCTCAGCGGAGACGGCCCGCCGGGACCGGCGGAGAGGGCCTGGCGGCGACACCCCCGCGCTCGGCGGCGGCGGCCTGCCGCAGACCTGAGCGGAGACGGCCCGCCGCAGATCGGCCTCATACTGCTTGTCATGAGTTTGTTCTTTTTATATGTTTGTTCTTTATGATGCAATTGCTCTGCAAAGTTTTGGCCGTAGCAGGAGCTCTATGGAATTACCGTCAGGTTTGTTAATGTTTTTGTACGTAACGTCAAGGCCGTGGCAGGAGCTCTGTGGAATTACCGTCAGGTTTGTTAATGTTTTTGTACGTAACGTCAAGGCCGTAGCAGGAGCTCTGTAGAATTACCGTCAGGCTTGTTGGTGTTTTTGTACGTAAAGTCAGGACCGTAGCAGGAGCTCTGTGGAATTACCGTCAGGCTTGTTGGTGTTTTTGTACGTAACGTCAGGGCCGTAGTCAAAGCGCGACAGAACCGAATTGGCTTGGAATGATAGCTGAATCATATTACAGATCATGTTCCAGTTGAAAATCTGATATTACAGTTGAAAAGCTGACTTTTGGGATCAGAATTTGTGCTGGTTCTTGGTCAAGTAAACCAAGAAAGCCTGTCTGTAACGCCCAATTCTTGCAGCCAGGAATTTGGCCAGGAAGGGACCAAATCAGTTCATATAGTCCCTTTTTTGTTGCCCTAGGGGACCTCTTTTTTTATTCCGGGCTCTGTTGAGCCTTGGGATCGCATCTTGATGCCGCGAGGGCCTGTGCCTGAAGTTTCGAGGCCTGCGAGCGTCGTGGACTGCCAAAAGCACCGCAGGCACCCACACCACCTCCAGAAGGAGGGGGGGGGGGGGGGGCGGCCCGAAGGCCCTCCTCCTTGGTTACGCCATTGCTGCAGAGGACGTGCCGGCTGGATGCGTAGTCGATGTCTCATTTGCGTCTGTGACGGTCGGCCCTCTTCCCTCCTGCGTCCTAATTGGCGCCCCTCCATCGCCAGCTTTAGCTCGCCGGCCGTCTTTTTCGGCGGGCTCGGCTGTCCGCAGCCTGTCGCCCTTTGTCCCGCCGTCAGCCCCAGCGGTGCTGACTCTCGGGCCGGCGGCTGGCGCCGTCCGCAATCGATGCCTCTGTTGTGTCGGCCGGGTTGGTGTCGCCTGTGGGTGACGCGAGGCGACCATCGCGCCGGCCTGACCCGCTGCTGACCCGGCCCGGCCCCCATTGATTGGTCGCCGCCTGAGGTCGCCGCGCCGGCGCCGCACCCGACCGCCCGCACCGACCGCCGGAGGTGCGATCGTGCGGCGGCGTCTCCGGTGGGGTCCCGTCGTTTGTTGGTAGATCTGTGCTTGGGTGGGAGGCGTCTGAGGGTACTGAAGCCGGCCACCGGCTCGGTGGCGGCGTGTCGGGGGATGGTCGACTCCCCAGGTGTACGGTAGATGCGTCTCCTCGGTGGCGGCGTGTCGGGGATGGTCGGCTCCCCAGGTGTACGGTAGATGCGTCTGCTCGGTGGCGGCGTGTCGGGGCCTGGTCGGCTCCTCAGGTGTACGGTACGGATGCCTGTTGCTGGGCAGACATTTCGCTGATAGTTTCTTCGATAGTAGTCTGATGAAGACCCAAGGACATAGTGCGCAGCTTTGGACAAAGGTCGCGTCAATCAGTGTTGTACGGTAAAGCAATAGCTGTGGAACATGCCATCACGTGAAACGGTGCTTAAACGTCTTGGTTTAACAGCGCTTAACTCGTTCTCCTGCACAAATCTTCCGGAAGTAATACAGTTCGATCACGATTTTCATTTATCTGCGTGGCAGCTTATCGGATTGCTCCTAATTTCCCACGCGGGGCGGAATCGCTGGCTGGTTCGACCGCACGCCCCCATCTATAATATAAGGTGCAGGTCCTGCCGATGCAGGTGATCCACAGCGGCTCCGTTACAGTTTCCGTGCAAGCGCCGATGCGAGGGGGCGGGAACACGGCCGACTACGGAACAAAGGCACACACGTCATAACCACTGTCAGCGCTGTGGCCCGGCCCCCTCCCCGATCACACCACCACCCGCACCCATCAACGGCCTGTGGTGTTGCCTTCGGCTCCATGTCATGACCTGTGGTGTTGCCTTCTCGCAACCGGTCGTCGCGGGACGTCCGAGCAGGCCGGCTGGCCGGTCGGACGGCGCGTGCGGCAAGCCCAAACACGCCGTCTCATTCCGACCGGCATCGTGGTGCCGGATCGGCCGCCAGAGCCGACCGCGCTGCCCGCGCCGCGCCGTGCCGTCCGCCGGCGCCGCGCCGCGCTCGCCGGCACCGGTCGACCGACCCCGGTGCCGAGAGCGGCCGGCGCGGCGTGCGGCGCTGCCCTGTTCGTGTCGCTGTTGCCGGGCCGACGCTCACAATGCGAGGGCGCTTTCCTGGCGGCTGACGCGGCGAGCGGCGACATTATGGCGTCGATCGGTGGCCGCGCGGCCGGCGACAAAGCCGCCAAGGCCGCCCGTGCCGGCCGTCGCTCGCCCAGCGAGTGGGCTCCGACCCGGTTGGGCAGGCGCCGGGCGGAGCGGGGCCGCGCCCGCCGCACGGGCCGGCGGGACGGCCTAGCGGGCGCGCGGCTCGGTGGCGTAGGGTGCGCCGTTCGCAGCGCGCCGGCTCCGGTCGGTGGTGTGTCGCGGCTGCGTCGCTCCCGTGCGCCGGCGTCGGGCGAGGTGGTCAGTGCCGGCCGGCGCCGTCCCGGCCCGCCCCTGTAATCACGGCCGTTGCCCGCCCGATCGGTCCGCCGCCTGACCGATGGAGCCTGCCGCCGCCGGCCGGCCGCGCTCGGCCGCCGCGGCAGCTGCACGCGTCCGGCCGTCCCGGGGCCGGCGCTGATGGCGCCGGGCGGAGGCGATGTATGGACTATTGCGGCCTGGCTGGCGGTGTCGGTGCATGGTCCGCCGGCCGGCCGCGCTGGCTGGCGGTGGTGTCGGTGCGGGGTCCGCCGACAGGCCGCGCTGGCTGGTGGTGGTATCGGTGCGGAGTCCGCCGACAGACCCGCGCTGGCTGGCGGTGGTGTCGGTGCGTGGTCCGCCGACAGACCGCGCTGGCTGACGGTGGTGTCGGTGCGTGGTCCGCCGACAGGCCGCGCTGGCTGGCGGTGGTGTCGGTGCGGGGTCCACCGGCAGGCCGCGCTGGCTGGCGGTGGTGTCGGTGCGGGGTCCGCCGACAGGCCGCGCTGAGCTTGACGCGTGAGTGCCGGTCGCGAGCGGGCCGTTGCGGTCTGTCGGCCCGGCCGACCGTCGTCGTGCGGGGCCGAGTCGATGTATCGACACCAGTGGCAGGAACTGGTACCCTCACCGCCACGTCTGAACCCAGGTGCCGACGCGATCAATGAAGCAATCCATCCAATGCCGTACTTGTGCCTCAATGCTCAACCCGTATGCAAGCCCCCATTCAACATACGAACGACGTGATAAACGGCCCACTTCAGGAAGCTCTTTACGGTATGAGGACCGCGGGCGTTTTTTCACACAGGCTGTGTGGGAGCCGACACAGGCGCCGTGTGTCGGCTCATGACGCATTGAACTGCTTTCGCCTTGGACTCTGAGCAGCACGGCCTTATCTTAAGAGTTCAGGCAGATATGGCTTAATTTTGGCGTTGATCGGATTCAGTCGATTCAGTAGTCAGCATTTTAGGCCACGTACCGTTCCCTGGAGACCGTAAATGTGCTCGGTAGTCCGATTTTATAGGACAGGAAAAGCGTTCAGGGTTTCATGTATTGCATGGGTAACAGTTATCAGGGTAGTGTCATTCGCTACTATTGACATTTATAGTCGAGTTGGGTCATTAATTATGCATCTATTTATCATTATTTATTGATTAATCAGAACGTTTGGCCTAGCTCCAGCTCTCACCCACTTATTTTCAAAGGAGTCCACCTGAACTTGACAAAGATCCGCCTGATTCTGGAGACGGCTCCGGCTTCATACGGAGGCAACCAAGCGCAGCTCTATCCAACAGCGAAGGTGCTTTCAGTAACAGCTGTTGAAAAATCCTCACAAGTTTGAGTTTTTACGTGCCTTACGTTTCCTTTGGATTAGGTACAGCCGAAAACATAATTTTATGTAATAACAGCTCACAGACAAGCAAACAAGGCGGATGTGCGCCGGTTTTGCTCAGTTTACCCAAATTCAAACCATGTAAGCCGAAGGGATTTAAGAGAGCAAAAGCCGTCTGTTACAAAAGTTTCGTCGTCGTGCGCAATTGAAGAACTCTCAAACAGGGGGGGGGGGGGGGGGGGGGGGTGATACGGCGTGCGTCGTACGACATATGCGCATCCTCACACGGTTTGGGACCATGGACGACCGTTGTTGCTGCATTGCTGCAAACTGCAAAACACAACCTTTGAGCATTAAATCGATCAAGCATTAGCACCGTGTGTGGTGCGTTACCATGGTACAAGTTGCTATGAACGCGTTCTTCTGCCTGGGAGCTATTCTGATCTGGTCAGCAGCGTCTTACAACGCGAGGCGATCAGCTGCATGCGGAGGAAAACTTCTGACAATGCTCTCTGACAATGACGGGACCTGTTACGGATTCTCTATCACCCACAGCGTCACTTGTGCCCCTCACACCACACGGACGTCGTGGGGTCGGCCGGCGCCCGGTGGCGCGCGGTGCCCGGCGCCGTGAGCCGCCTCCTGGTCCGGGCGCCAGGCAGTCTGACCGGCCGCCGGGCTGCGGCACAGTGCGCGGCGGCCGTGACCCGCGCCGCGCCGTGAGCCGCCTCCTGGTCCGGGTGCCAGGCAGTCTGACCGGCCGCCGGGCTGCGGCACAGTGCGCGGCGGCCGTGACCCCGCGCCGCGCCGTGAGCCGCCT